GACAGTTCATATGTCCACAACATAATTTTAACTAAACTGAACTTCTGCAGTAGCATCATATTTTCACAAGACTGGACTGCTTCTGATTCCAATTGGAAGTCTTTTATTTTGCTTTGAGATCAATCTAGCAGTATCCTTCAAAGCTCATTTAAATTCCTAAGTCCTTCAAAGCACCTTGGGCCACAGTGATTTTTCTTCTCTGGTGGTGTAGTGCTTAAGGAATTTGGTTGTTAGTCAGAAGATCTATGGTTCAAACCCAGCAGTGGCTCTGTAGAAGAAAGAAGAAAGATTGGGCAGTCTGTTTCTGTATAGATTGACAGCCGTGGAAACCCAATGGGGTTTGCTATGAGTCAGAATCGACTTGATGGCAGTGAGTTAATTTTATATTATTTTCCCCGTACAAATTACAATCAGTTGTATATTGTATTTTACTTTATTTTGTGTCTTTTACTTTTCTTTCAAACCAAAATAAATGAATAAAAACCCACTGCCATTGAGTGGATTCCAACTCATAGTGACCCTGTAGGACAGAGTAGAACAGCCTCATAAGATTTCCAATGCTGTAAATCTTTCTGGAAATCAGATGCCTCATCTTTCTTCTTTGAAGTGGTTGGTGGGTTTAAATCACTGACCTTGAGGTTAGCAGCCCCAACAACACCAAAGCTCCTTGTCTTTCAAAAGTCTTGGTAAAATTCTACCTATGTTTTATCTTCTACACCTCACACTGAAATGAATACATAGTAGTGGCTCAAGGAAGTAAAATTAAATACATAGGGAAGACTTTAATATTCTGACTGGTTATTTAATGCAGTATCATTGATTCATTCAATAATTCATAATTTTGTCTATGCACTAGCTATATATTGAGCAGTAATAAGATCTGGAGTCTGTTACATGCTGAGAAACCTACTGGAATTAATGATCTCTTGCTGTCTTGCTTCCAAAGCACTTTGGATCTATTTCTTTGATGTTGTTGCCAAATGTCATCAAGTCAGTTCTGACTCACAGTGAGCCTATGTACAACAGAAAGAAACACTTCCTGGTCCTGCACCATCCTTACAACCGTTGCTATGTTTGAGCCTACTGTTACAGCCATTATTTCAGTCCATCTTGTTGAGGGACTTCCTCTTTTTCTTTGACTCTCTACCAAGCATGATGTCCTTATCCAGTCACTGGTCCCTCCTGATAACATGCCCAAAGTATGTGAGACAAAGTCTTGAGATCCTTGCTTCTAAGGACCATTCTTGCTATACTTCTTCCAAGACAGATTTTTCATTCTTCTGGCAGTTCTTGGTATATTCAAAATTTTTGCCAACACCATCATTCAAAGTCATCATTCTTCTTCAGCCTTCCTTATTTATTACCAATTTGAGGCGATTAAAAATACCATGACTTGAGTCAGATATACCTTATCCTCAGGGTGACATCTTTGCTTCAACACTTTAAAGAGATCTTTTACAGACATTTGCCCAATGCAGTGAGTTGTCTGATTTCTTGACTGCTGGTTCCATGGGCATTGACTGTGGATCCAAGTAAAAGGAAATCCTTGACAACTTCAATCTTCTCTCTGTTTATCCTGATGTTGCTTATTAACCCAGTTGTGAGGACTTTTGTTTTCTTTATGTTGAGGTGTAACCTATACTGAAGGCTATAGTCTATGTCTTCAGTAAATGTTTAAAATCTTCCTTGCTTTCAGCAAGCAAGGTTGTGCCATCTGCATATTGTGGGGTGCTAATGAGTCCTTCTCCAATCTTGATGACATATTCTTCCTCACATTGTCTAGTTTCTTGGATTATTTGCTCGGCATACAGATTGAATAAGTATGGTGGAAGGATATAACCCCACTGCACACGTTTTCTGATTTTAAACCACACAATATCCCTTTGTTCTCTTCAAATGACTGCCTCTTTGCCTATGTACAGTCTCCTTGTGAACACAATTAAGTGTTCTGGAATTCCCATTCTTCATAATGTTGTCCATAATTTGTTATGATCCACACAGTTGAATGCTTTGCATAGTCAAAATAAAATATAAGTAAACATCCTTTGGGTATTTTCTGCTTTCAGCCAAGATCTATCTGATACCAGCAATGATATCCCTCAGTCCATGTCCTCTTTTGAATCTGGCTTGAATTTCTGGCAGTTCACTGTCTATGAACTACTGAAACCATTTTTTAATTATCTTCAGCAAAATTTTACTTGCTTGTGATATGAATGATATTGTTTGACAGTTTTCATATTCTGTTCAATTTCCTGTGTAGGGAATGAGTATGCATATGGATCTCTTCTAGTTAGCCAGGTAACTGTCTTCCAAATTTCTTGGCACAGACAAGTGAGTGTTTCCAGTGTTGCAATCGTTGGTTGAAACATCACAATTAGTAGTCCATCAATTCCTGGAGCCTTGTTTTCATCAATACTTCATTGAGTTTGGATGTTTTCCTTCAGTAGCATAGGTTCTTGATCACATATTACCTCCTGAAATGGTTGAACATAGACCAATTCTTTTTGGCACGGTGACTCTGTATATTCCTTCCATCTTCGTTTGATGCTTCCTCAGTCTATTGAAACCCCTGAATTCACTCTCTTTAGTCCTCGATGTTATAGGCTGTGGCATTCCTATGAAAATATGTACTACCCACCACAGTGGTTGAAGCTATGTACTGAGATTTAACAAGCAAATCCCTGGAATAACCAACTTTACTCACCACATGCCCAAGTGACCCCTTTTAATCTCAAATGCTTTTCTTATAAAATGGTCCCGCTTTTCTGGGGGTATATGTGAATTACATGGTATGTGAGTATTAAATGAAAACAAGGCCAGTTGTGAATGATTATTTAAAAAATGTTTAGGAATTCAACAAAATTATATTTTGTGTAGGTTAAAACTCTTAAAAGTCATGAATCTAGTATCCCCATTCATTGCACAGTTTTCCTTTGGCTTGAAAACTCCTGAAGAGTAACGGGGACTTAAGTTGAGACAGGTAAGAGAAGGTCACCTGTTTAGCTGGGAAGAGTGTGTAGCATATTGGAAAGAGCTTTTTGCTCATATATTGCCTCAGTTCTAAGCTCCAACAAATCATTTAATCTTTATAAGTTTTATCAGCAAAGAGGAGATATTGATAACTAGTTTTTAATGTGCCTATGGAGTTTGAATGATTCAATATGCATAAAGTGCTTAGCTCAGAGACTTGGACATAGTAAAATGCTATAGATATATCCCTTTTCCCTCCCTTCATCTTTATCTTTCCTATCCTAATGAAGATATGCTACAAGCTACTCATTTGTGAGTTCCAATTTGTGGATTCAGTTTGTGGCTTTTGTTGAGGAAGTACTGAGATTGCATGAACAATATTACCAAGTATCAAACATGGAAAGTCCAATTTCAATAATCCTCTGACTCTCCTCCTTGAGTTGAAGGTGAGCTAAAGTGTTGAAGTTGGGAAAGAAGTACTAAATTAACCCTGAATGCAACAGTAGACAAATCTTAACAGATTGAAAGAAACATGGGTAAAATTTTTTAGGCGCTCTGTCTCAAGGTTTTGCCTTCAGTCTTGTCCTTTTCAACATTCATATTCAAGACCTGGATTAAGGAAGAAATTGCTAAGCTTTGTATTCAACTGAGAGAGATAGGGCTGTGTTGGTTAGAGACTACGCAATGGGCTGAATTCAACAGGATACAAATTCTGAAGTTACCAGCATATGTGAAGAAGACTCCAGGCTTTTAGTGTACACTATATTCTGTGTTATTGAAAATGCATTCCCACATCTTTCAGGATTAAGCTCAGCCAAGATTTCCTCTGCAAATTCTTGTCTGAACTCTTGATCTGAGTGTTCCAATAATTCTAGCATATGCACATATGATAAAATTGTTTGTATGTTGAAGGAGCCCTGGTAGCATAACAGTTAAACACTTGCCTGCTAACTGAAAGGTTGGTCATCAGAACACACTCAGCCGCTCTGAGGGAAGAAAGATCACAGCCAAGAGAACCTAAAGGGGCAGTTATACTCTGTCACATGGATTCACTGTATGACTTGATTTGATGGCACACAATTACAGCAACAACATGATGTTGAAGGTTCCTTGGAGACAGGGGTAGTGCCTTATTGTTTTTTGTACTCTTCATGTTTAACATAGTGCCTGGCACATTTTTCAATATAATCTAGGCTGTTGCTATGATAAAATTAAATCAGGGATTGAATTGGTCTTTTGAATTTTTATTGTCCATATGCCTGCTCATAAAAACAGCAACAACAGCAACAATAATAATATCCTGCCAATTACTTGGGCATTTTGCATGGTGTCATGGAGTACCTTGTAAATATTATAGTAGTGAGCATGTTAGGTTCATCCTTATGTCTTTATTTTTGTAGTCTAATGTGGGTCAAAAAAAAATTAAGCTTAGTACCTTTGCTATGCCCTATTGAAGGATCTGTACGTCTTTATATTCAGAGCCATTAGAGAGAAGGATGTTAAATAATTCAACTAGGAGTTCCTCATTTCCAACTTTATTTGTCTCCTGGGTTTTATTTTGCTCACCCAGTCACCTGCAAAACTCATTGAACATTCAAATTCATAGTCTGTGACTGAGTGACCTTGAACCTCTTGGTGGCCTGGAATGAACATACCTTTTATTTAACACTTGGAGCCCAGTTAGATATTAGTTTTCCTCCAGTGAAATCTGCTGATCCTAAGGAAGAGGAAAATCAGAAACAGAGGTCAGAAACAATTCTGTCCCACCCCCTGTTCCAATATAATGAGTAAGTCACTGACAGACATGGGACTAAATGCTGGATTTCTCTTCCATAAATCTTTTTATCCCATATCTTAAATATGTTGTTTCTTGGAGCTATGAAGTTAAAGAATACTTCATTGAGATAATAAAGAGTTTAGACTCCAAAAAGTCCCCCTGAGTATCCTCTCAGGTAGAGTGAGCAACAAATGGACTGAGAGTCTATTTGCTTATGCTCATATTCTGTACAACTCACAATCCACCCAAGAGACTAAGTGTTCTGTGAAAAGAGCTATGCCAAGCCACTGAAAATCCTTGGGTAGCATGTTTCCTCATTTATGACTTCTCCATATACTTGGTTCTGCTCCAAGTCATCTGAAAGAGACATCTGTTGGATGATTTGATGTGATGTGTATGTCCACTAAAAGTCTGCTCTGACAGGTCAATGTAAAGGAACCCTGATGGGAGAGCTCAGTCACAGGCTGAATGGCTCTTAAGTACAGGACCAGATTTGCAAGGATTATCCAAGACAATGACTTCAAGAGCAAACTAGGCCAGGTAGTTTAGCCACAAGCCTCAGCAAATTTTTGTGGCATAGTCCTTTGGGGTCTCCTGTCACTGTACTTGCCAATAATGCATTTCACTTCCATGTAGGAGCTTTCAGGTCTTCTTGACATACTCTTAAGCCATATGTGTTCCTCTCCCTTCAGATATCAACCTGCTCTTTAACTTGAAGAACAGTCTAAGCAAGTCAGTGAGGTTTACCATAGCATCAAACTGTCTTTTAAGCTAACATCTCATGAATAAAAACTATGATTCTGGATAGCTCACTCATGAATATTTCTTGTTAAAGAACAATGGAAGTAGTCTGAGGGAATTAAATCCACATAAATAATTGCCAAATCTTATTTCATTTCATTTTGGAATACTCTGTAACTCCAAATGTTTCTACCAAATTTGGGAGCACAGTGTAAAATCAGCTGATATGAGAGTCCTTTCCCTTATCACTTTTCTAGTGTGGTGCTAACTCTAGAGAACTCAAGAAAAGTACATGGAGAGAGAAAAAACTCAAAGATTCAAGCCACTTTTCTCTATCTTGCCAATCTTATTTTAAGGGCAAAAGCACTATTTCTCAGAAAAGTCTAAGCCCAAGTCAGTCAGAGGTTGGGGTGGATGCCTCAGTAACCCCATGATACACTATAAACCCATGTGAGTAGATGGTGATGTTCTGAATAGTTGTCTGTGAATATTTTCTCTAAAACGGTCTTACAGCTCTCAGCATAACTGCAAGAGCTAGTTCCCTGGAAAGCCTGTCTAGAAACAGCCCCATAGCTGGCAAGTATCATGGTGACTTTTATATTTTAATCTCTAATATTGTGGAACAATGTAAAAATTATGTATGTCCAGGTGCTTTCTGAATTATAGAGGGAGTCAGAGGTAGCCTTTCTTTATAGGAAGAGTGACACTGCAGCCTTCCTGAGCCCTGTAAGATCCCTACGTACATACTCCTAAAACCACCCAAACAACATCATATGAATGGTTAGATTCTGGGCTATTGAACAGTTTCTACATGTGAAAAAAATCAAAAGTCCATTCTGGAGAATGATTTGCCACTAGCAAGATTTCCATTTTACGAAGCACCTAATAGATGCCGGAATCTCTATTAGGTACTTTTCAGATAATCTCTCACTTAATTCTCACTAAGAAACGGAAGGATTTTCTGCATTTTATAGATGAGGAAAATGAAGCATAGAGAGATCAAGAAAGTAGCCCAAGATAACCCACTTAGTAAATGGTAAAACCAGGAGTTGAGTTCAGGCCTGAATGAATGCAAGCTCCCTGACCCGCCCCCCCACCACCACCCTGCGCATGCACACACACACACACACAAATAAATAAACCATGTTGCTGTCAAGTTGATTCAGACTCATGGTGACCCCATGTGTTACAGAGTAGAACTGCTCCATAGGGTGTTCTTGGCTGTAATTTTCTGTGGAAACAGATCACTAGGCCTTTCTCTCACATCATTATTGGGTGCGTTCAAACTGCCAACTTCTCAGTTAGTAGACAAGCACAAACTTCTTAAACGAAAACTCCCTGGAGACAGGGCTTTTTCTGTTCTGTTCAGTGACTGACAGATTGTAGATAACGAACTATGGCAGTGCATGTACTCTTAACCCTTAGTCTGTACTGTCTCACCTTTGTCCCATCATCCCAGTCTTTTACTTACCTTTCTCTCCCATCATGTTTCAGATGGAAATAGTAGCGAGAGCTGCAGCAGTTAGATTCAGCCAGTTATGACTGTATGTATCCTGATGAAGGAAAGAGGAATGAAGTTGTCAGAAGTTGCCTCTGTGGGTCAGATTCCCTCCACCCCCCACCATCTTTTTTTTCTGCTTCTCTCACTCCCACAAAGATTTTTGGAGTCCCTGGTAATGTGTTGGGAGCTCTGGTGGCATAGTGCCTAAGACATTTGACTGCTAACCAGAAGGCTGGCAGTTCAAACCCACCAGCCACTCCTCAGAAGGAAGGTTGGGCAATCTACTTCTGTAGTGATGTTGTTATTGTTGTTATGTGCCATCAAGTCGGGCATGACTCATGGTGACCCTTCCTTGGATTTCTGAGGTGGTATCACTACAGAAGTAGTGAGGGGATTAAAAATACCAAGGCGTGAGTCAGGCACACCTTAGTCTTCAAAGTGACATCTTTGCTCTTTAACACTTTAAAGAGGTCTTTTGTAGCAGATATTCCCAACACAATATGTTGTTTGATTTCTTGACTGTTGTTTCCATGAGCATTGATTGCGGATCCAAGTAAAAGGAAATCCTTGTCAACTTCAACCTTTTGAAGGGAGGGGTCTCTATGAGTCGGATCTGACTCCACAGCAGTGAGTTTGGTTTGGTTTTGGTTGCTAATGTGCTAAGCACTGAGGATTCACTGGTGAATAAGGCAGACATAATCCCTGCCCTTATGCAAGCTGTCAATTAAATTATAGGTATGATGTGTGTACAATGTATTATGGGAACTATAACAACAGGACCTGATCTATTTTTATGAGATTGGGGAAAACCTCTATGTAAATTTCAACTTTATCATAAAGAATGAATAGGAATTCTGAAGCATGGTTTGGTGATCTCTAAGGATCCTGCCTGAGACACTTTTAGGGAGTTCTGGAGGTCAAAACTAATTCCATAGTAATACTAAGACTTTATTGTCCTTTTTTATTCTCATTCTCTCAAGATATACAATAGAGTTTTCTGGAGCCTACATGACATATGATATCAAAACAGATTGAATGCAGAATGCACATGAGAATTTATCCAACTTCTATTAAGCTAGACATTAAAGAAATTGCAAAAATGCAGGATGATGTCATTCTTCTCTCAAAACTCTTTTTGTTTTGAAAAACGTAGTTATTTTTCACAAAATATATTATTTATATTAAAGTATCAGTATTACTTTTGATTAATTAAAATTTAAAAAAATAAAAGTTATATATTGATAGACATAATACACACATTTAAAAAAGCTCTTTGGGGGTCCTTAACAAGTTTAAGTGTGTAAAGGGATGCTAGAACCAAAGCATTTGAGAATTGCTGGACTAAGCAAAGAAGGGGATGTGGAACGAGAGGTATCGTTGCTGATGTCAGATGGATCTTGACTGAAAGCAAAGAATATCAGAAAGATGTTTACCTGCATGTTATTGACTATGCAAAGACATTGAACTGCATGGATAATAACAAATTGTGGATAACATTTCAAAGAATGGAAATTCCAGAACACTTAATTGTGCTTATGAGGAACCTATACATATAGATCAACAGGCAGTCTTTCGAACAGAACAAGGGAATATTGCATGGTTGAAAATTAGAAAAGGTGTACGTCAGAGCTGTGTCCCTTCATCATACTTATTCAGTCTGTATGCCAAGCAAATAATCCAGGAAGCTGAACTATATGAAGAAAAATGTGGCATCAGGATTTGAGGATTCATTAAAAACCTGTGATAAGCAGATGACACAACATTGCTTACAGAAAGTGAAGAAGGTTACTGATGAAGGTCAATGATTACACCCTTCAGTAAGGATTAGATAACATAAAGAAAGCAAAAGTCCTCACAACTGGCCCAGTAGGCAACATCATGATAAACAGAGAAAAGGTTGAGGTTGTCAAGGATTTCCTTTTACTTGGATCTGCAATCAATGCTCATGGAAACAACAGTCAAGAAATCAAACAACATATTGTGTTGGGAAAATCTGCTGCAAAAGACCTCTTTAAAGTGTTAAAGAGCAAAGATGTCACTTTGAAGACTAAGGTGTGGCCTTGGTATTTTTAATCCCCTCATATGCATGCCAAAGCTGGACAATAAATAAGGAAGACCAAAGAAGAACTGATGTATTTGCATTATGGTATTGGTGAAGGATATTAAATATTCCACAAACTCCTAGAAGAACAAACAAATCTGTCTTAGATGAAGTACAGCAAGGATGGCTAGACTTCACCTTTCCTTCTTTGGTACTGTTGTCAGGAAGGACCAGTCCCTAGAGAAGGATATCATGCTTGGTAAAGTAGGTGGTCAGTGAAAAAGAGGAAGACCTTCAATGAGATGAATTGTCACAGTGACTGCAACAATGGACTCAAACATAACAATGATTGTGAAGATGGCGCAGCACTGGACAATATGTATAGTGTTGTACATAGAGTGGCTATGAGTCAGAACTGACTGAAAGGCACCTAACAACAACAACAGCAAGCAGAGAAGGGAGTATTCCAGTCTGAGGAAACAGTGTGTGGAAAAGCCCCAACCTAGGATACAACTTGATAGTTGTGAGGACATTAAAGAAGTTCAATGTGGCTGGAGCATAGATAATGAAGGAGAGAGGGCATAGATGAAGGTCAAGAGGTAAGCAGTGCCAGATTTTGGGGAAAGGAGTCAATCTCAGTTCAGTGGGAAGTCACTGAAGGATTTTAATCAGGCTGGAGATGATCAGATTTATGTGAAAGAAAGAAAGAAAGGAAATAATCTGGAGGAAAGGCAAAGTACAGACTTTAAAATGAATGTGAATAAAACCTGGTAGTATTTATGGAAAACCACACGACTGTGGCCTGAACTATCTCTGGTTGCTTCTAGTATCCTTTGAAAGGCTTTTCTCAAATGCACGAACATGAGAGTTTAAGGTGGTATTTCACTGGGGACTGAGGGGACAGAGACAGTGAGCTACAGGGTCAGAGGACCATAAGAATGCTTTGCATTCTGTCCAGTGCCCCTTATAACAAAAACACAGAGCTGGGAGGTGAGCAGAGAAGGGCATAGACTTGGCAATCTGCCCTGGGACAGGGAGCTTTGTCTGCAAGTAGATTCCCAGTTCAGACTGTACACATTCAATAGAACCCATTGTTTACACCTTGGGTGGAAAATGGAGGAAATAGGCCAATGAGGGTAGGTATCCACTAACTTTTAAAGGAATTTTTCTGAGGGTTTTAAAGAAATCTAAACAAAAACAGGAGTTTGAAGGAAGGTGAGGGATAGGGCTGCTTGATGCTAACGATGCCCTTAGGTCTTTCCTGAGAGTCTGTTGACAATAAGCTATGAGACCGAACCAACAGGGAAACCAACTCTGAGCAAGAATTCTGATTAAATCATAATTTTATG